AACTCTAATAGGTTATATTTAGTCTATCTACACAATCTGAAGCTTAGAAGGATTCCAGGACAAACTGTTCAACAATCAAACAATCAAGATCAGGTCAGCGCATACACGATCAGAATCTGTTAAAAGTATTGGATTATTAGTTCATGCCAATCAACACACGCTCAGAATCTGTATCAATTATTATTACTTCTATATATTCTTCTTTTCAGTGCGCGTGCTTGGAGAGTTAGTACACATGCCTTGCCTTCAGGCTAAATCAGAGATGCTTATCAGTTATGATGTCAAAAATCTCAACCTTACAACTATTAGGCCCCAAATCTAGCTAAATGCATATTCTCAATGAATTTGAATAATGAAAAGGTCCCAGACACTTTCAATCCTTCTCAGAGAAAAAATAAAATAAAATAAAAAAGTCTCAACATTGATTAATACTAACATATAGTCTCCAGAAGTGCAAGTTTTACCAAGATAAGCCCTCCCTCCAAGTTTCCCACTGATTACGAACCTAACATTACATTGACATCTCCTCTACTAGTCACTTGCCATATAACACATTCATAACAGTCCTAAAAGCAGGTCCTCTCTTATTCTTCAAAGCATCCCTAACCTTCTCCTCTTCCGGGACAAGCCCTTTACTCTTCAACATTTCCAACACCTCTTTCCCCTCTTCTTCCAATCCCACTTTCATTAATCCTTCATAAACCCCAACACAAACTGCTGCACTCGGCTTAATCCCCCTCTTCTCTACCATCTCCTCTACATACGTTTTCGCCTCCTTCACCAACTTCGCATCCCCACTAGCCACCAATCCCTTAATCAATACATTATACGTATAAGCATTCGGCAACACCCCAGAAGCCAACATCCTCATATAAACCTTCAACGCCTCCTTTGCCTGCCCTGCATTCACGTACGCCTCAATGACTGCAGTATGAGCCACCACATCCGGCATCTGCCCCTTATCCTTGATCTGAGAAAACAGCTCCAAGGCCTCGTGAGTCAAACCGTCCTTAGACAATCCGTCGAACATCTTGACTGCACTATTCATGAGCCCATCACCTCGCATATTATGAAACACTTCTTGTAAGTTCTTTGGATCCTCGGGTTCCTCGATAACCGGTTTCTTATTAAAGGGGTCATAGGGAGGTGGTAGTTTCGACTTATCAATCTGTCTATCTCTTGATCTTTTGTCTTCAGATTCCGATTCTGAGTCCGACTCTGAATCAGATAATGAAAAATTGACTAATGTGCTTCGCTTTCGGGGTGCGGTGGTGGGATTTATCGGTGATTCGGAAGCCGATGAGGAGGAAGTGCAAAAGTGGGTCAGGGAAAGTTGGGCTTTTCTATTGGATACACATAATAGTGATTGGGACTGCAATGGTGGTTTTGATATTGTTGTGGGAGCCGATGATAACGGAGAAATGGGATGAGAATGGAAGAGGCGGGGATGAAATAGGCGTTTTAGGAGTGAAGATTGAGAGGAATTTGAGATGATAAAGCAGCGGGTGATGGTTGTTATCGGCGCCATTGTTGCCGGGAACTCTTGCTTCAGCTGCTGTCTTGTACACTGCAATTTTCGAGGGAATTTTGTAAGAGCCGTTGGCAAGAGAGGAAACACAGTAGTGAGATTATGGGCCGTTATCGAATAGGCCTAACAGACTAGGGCCCAACATATACATCCTTTGAAGCCCAAGAGTTCCCTTTTCTTTTTGTAGCTGCTTGCATGGGGTATGGATTAATCTTTCCTACATTGACAGTGTATACACTATGAGCGTTGGATGAATAATAACTATGTAAAATTTGAGTTTAAAATTCAATTTTTGCACATATATCATGAATCCAACGGCGATAGTGTATACACTGTAAATGTATATAAGATTTACTCTATATATATGTATATATATATAATGGGCCATTTTTTATAAGTAAGAGAATTTGAACTCACGATTTCCTATTCACAATTCCTTTTACTTTACTATCAAAATTTTTCTCGAAATCAGGTAAGGTCTTTGTTCGACTATCGGGTATTAATTTGGCGAGCCATGTAAAATGATAATTTACATAAATGTATAAGTTGTAAATGTCACATTCCAGTTAATCAATTAAACATTTGTCAAAAAACCCTCTTTTAATAGTTCTCTAACAAATATTAGTTCATGACAATACTAACTATTAATAGTATATTTTTACTTAATGAATTATCAAAAGTGTAAATTTTGAACTATTTCATTTGATTTTTCCATTAATTTTACCAGATCTGCTATTAATAATATGTTTCGTGAATTGTGCAACTCTTAGATCGGCAAAGTTAATAGTAAAATCAGACGATTGGCTCAAAATTTTCACATTTGCTAATTCAATGAGTAAAAACATAATATTAATAATTAGATGACCAAATATTGATTACCCTGACAAATTATAAAATTTGCTCGGGAAAACAAATATATAAGGCTGAAGCTGAAGTGTATTTTTCAAAATTCAATCGCAATTGCTACTGGTACTGGCGCACCACTACAACTGAGTCCCTCTTTCACACAGTCACACAGCAGGAAGAAAGGAAGGAAGGGTATGGCGGAATGCCCGAGCCTGGGGATTCTGATCGATATAGTAGATGAAGATTGGATGAGAGACACCCTTCCAGATGATGGTATCCTGTTCTCTCCCTGACCTAAATAAAATTTTGCTGCTTATGGATTCTAAATATATTTGAATCTTTTTCTTTTTTTGGTGCAGATCTTCCGTTACCACCTGTACTTGTTTCCAGAACTGATGACACTGAAGATTCTAGTATGCTTCTTTTCCACCCTAGTTTTAGTTAATCAATTTTGGGGACCTTCTTTTCCACCCTATTTTTAACTAATTCTTTTTTCTTTTGTTGATTGTTTTCTTGAAAACAAGAAGCTTTGGTTGATTTTGCGGCATGAGTAGTCCCGTGATTGTACAATAATGATGTGGGTTTTGAAATTTTGTTAGTATATCTGAACATATTGTTAATCCCGTTTTCGTTATTTTTCCAGTTTTCAAGCTACCAAAATTTTGAGCTTTTATACATCCTCTCTTAGGAAAATATAAAGAAGATGCCAGATGTTTCAGTTTTCCATTTTTTGGTTTCTTTTTTCCTTTTACCTCGTTCCTTTGGTGTGTTTATGAAGTTGTTGGATATATGTAGATAGCTGGATTTTAAGCATTCCTAAAGGCATGGTCTGAGACTCTTGATATCAAGGAAAACTCCCGATCTCGTGGGCTGATTAACTAGCAATAGTTTCTAATAGTATAAAGGATTGTGCAACATGTATCCAGATCCATATGTCTTGTTTTCACTTTTGGTATTGTACTACCGAAATGCATAGAATTTTGGAGTAAATAGAATGAAAATCATATGCATGTCATTGCTCGATTTTGGATGACAAATAGAATACCATTCTAGGTAGTTGTATGGTTACAATTACGTGGTATCTCTTTATCTACACGTTAATTGATTGTTTAATTACATTTTGTCTCTTTGTACATAGAACTCAATCAGATTCTTTACCTGAAAAAATATAGAAAGAATGCTTTAAGTTTTAGAAGAGCCATGCTCAAAATCAGATTCTGGTAACGAGAATCATTACGTCCACTTCAGGGAAACATATACTTAATCTTATTGCCTTGTACTCAGTTTTATTGAAAATGCATGTGGATGCCATTTTTCAGCTGTATTGGCTAGGGAATGGGTCTTTACAAATGCTGTACAGAAACCAGATGAGGTCAATCTTCATTGAACTGTTTGAATGCCACATGAAGTGGATTGCAGGATTGTGGTTGACTGTATCTTTGCCAATCATCATTTTACAAGATGAAACTGAACAGCTTTCATAGATGCTTGGTTTGAAGTCATGAGTTTCGGTTCACAAAGCTTAGGAGATCCTGCAGTTTAGATGGCTTATTGGCAATATGCCTTTCAAGTATCTAAGAAAAGTACTATATTTTACTGGACGATGATCTTTATGTAGCTATTTGTAACAAATGTCTCCTCTATCACAGAAATTATATATCACAATCACGAATTGGAATACCTTTGCTTGGCTTCCACAAGTTCTGAGTTTAGTTTTGTCTAAAGTAGTTGTTTAATTTCTTGAACGGTCTCAATGTGAGTGATGTTTTCATCTACATGCTACTATATTGGATATAGACAAATATAACTGAAACTTTATGCTGGTATGGATCTAAAGCTTTTGAATTAATGAAAGACTGAGAATTTCATATACAAGTCTTTCAAGTCATTGATGCGACAATTTATGACTTAGTTAAGCTTGCTATCTTGCTCATATGAAAGTTCCATCTTTTTGCATTTGTTATACTTTTCGTCTGACTTATTGTGAACTGGATTGCTCCTCAGATCAAGAGGTTCAGCAAGTTGATGGCGATACGTGGCATGATCTTGCACTGGGAAACTCCTAAATACCAGATTACGGCCTGGGGAAGTATATATTGGACAAGTTATGTTTTCCAGACGCAATCATAGCAGCCCCTTTGACATAGATGGAAACTCTACTATTTTGAATTGAACTCTAGTTTCAAGAAGTGATGTTTCAGTGTCAAACTTTTTGTGCGAACCCTGTGATGCAGACATGAGTTCTTTTCTTCTCTCTTTTTGCTGTGTAAATGCATTTTGATTGCCCAGGTGACTTTTGCACGCTTAGGAAATATTTTGGTTCTGTAATGATGATCACATTCTTTAGCCACGTAACTTGTGCTAGCAACGATGCAGTGAATTTAATCACTGTAGCTATGGTTTTGAAGGAACGTGTTCCATCCATTTATAACTTTCTAAGGGGCTGATTGTAGTCTATCAAAGAAGATAACTGCCGGGAGGTGAGGATTATGACAAAAAAAAAAAAAAAAATTAGCTCCTACATCAGAACAAGCATTTTAAAGGATTTTTCTTGGCTGAGACCTGGCATATAACGAAATGACTATTTGCTATTTGCTGTAAACCAAACTCTTGTGCAGCTGGAATATTTACCTCACAATTGTTAGACTTAAAATGGTACTGTGAGTTCCTCAGTCTTGTTCCAATTACAAGTTTTTTTACAGTTTAGGATCTCATTGACGGGATAATCTACATCCTGTGATCTATCAAATAGTACGGGTTCAACTGATAAGTTTGGTCCCGTTATATAACCAAAGAGCTTAAAAAAGAGAAAACAAGCCTCGTCTGGCTAGAAATTTCATTGGTACAAATGTTGGCCAAAATCTCTACCATCAAATTAAGCATTTGTCCAAGAAAATGTTTTGATGTGCAGCAGAGCAACATTCTTCAGTTTCATTGGTGGAGCTATCGTGATTACCAGCAGTAATGCCATGCCAGGGATTCTGCATAACTTGTTTTTCAGCATTTGTTAGTTTCTCTGGTCAGCTAATATGTCAGAAGCCAATCATCCATCTTGAATTTCAGCAATGATCTTTTTAAATCTTCACACTCCTTAAAATGTGGAGAATCGTATTCTCAGATTAAGGGGAAGGGGGGAAACTGATTCCCTGCAAAAGTCAAGAATACTTATCCTTTAAAGTTCACTTCTGCAACTCTAGTTCAATTAGTTTTGGACTGCACATTATCTGCCGAATAGTCATGTCAACGAAAATTTTCCTAACACTGCAGGAATGGAATGCGCCTAAATCTCTGCATAGGCTATACCAACTACTATTATTAGGCAGCAAAATTGCAAAAAATCTGCACAGTCTTGGACAAAGTTAACATTCATCCAAAATCCATGCCTAAGCAGTATCAAAGCTGCTGATGCAAGAACCAGTGGAGGCATCACTACAGCTAGACCCTTCTTGATGCTTGCTTGCCTGAGGCAGGTATGAGTAAGCAACTGCTGAAATCCCAATGGCAATTGAAACTCCAATGCAACTCCAAAACCACCTTCTTCGGATCTTTCTTCTCTGCCGTTGCTGCCTTGCGAGCTCTGCAATATTAGAAAAATCAACAGATAAATCATGAAGAATACAAGAAATGCTTAAAAACTTCAAAACAAACAATTCTGTAGCAAGTCGCAGATACAGTAGGTCCAAATAATGACTGGCAGAAGCAACAGAACTCTATAAAAACCAAACATGTTCACCACTTAATTCATAAATATATACGAAACAAAATAGTAAATTAAAAGATTGGGAATCCAACAGCAGCACTACTGTTCAGGAAACTTCAGTACACAAAACAGCTAGGCATGTACTTCAATAACAAAGCAGACATTAGCTGAAAGTACCTATGATTCCCTGATTCCTCTGTGACATTTCATGATTAACAGCTTCATAGTATTGCAGCTTGTCACGCAACCGAGATATTTCCTGGTCTTTGGATTCAAGGATTGCCTCTGCAGCTATTTCAGCTTCAGCTCGTGCCTCACCTATTCCTATTGCGTGTGCAACAAATCTAGCAACAACAACCTCTTGAGCGAGGTCCTCAAATGCAGCATTGTTTTGCTGCATACTCCCACTAGAATTTGAAGGTGAAGGCAAAGCTATTCCAACCTCAGACAGAAGATCAATGATCCTCAGCCACTGACCGCGCATTAAGCTAAGATCCTCCTCGGCTTGCTTGCGCCTTTCAATCTCCTCCAGGAGACTAAGCCTTAGGGAACGCATTTCAGATTCGAGATTTGGGTCATATGAAGGTGCATTTGAATTAGACGTGTCCGAGGAAAAATCTGTGGAAACCATCTAAAACATCAGTTGCTCCTCCTCTTTCAAAAAAATGGAAAGTACTCATTATTCTCACCAGCTCATGAAACTATATTAAATAAAAGCACCAGAACTCAGTACATAAGCTAAATGCCAAGCTCCAGCTCCTTAAATAGTGTGTTTCCTGGCATATTCAAGTTTTGTACTAGCTTTGCAGAAAATTTCATTATTACATGATGAAGAAAAAATATACTAACCTAACCTTACAGATATCGTATGAATCCACTGACCTAACCTTAAGAAACTGTAGCTAACAAACACAGGTATTTATCATCAATAATTTAAACACAAATAATTTTCGCTGAATATCTAAGAAACCCACAATAGACACAGAATTTTATATGGAAATAGAGATATTTACCTTCAATTGCATCGAAAAATTCGCCTTGATTTGAAACAAAACTCCGACAATCAAATTGTCCAGTCACCTCATTTCTACTCCCCAAACTCTCGGACTCGCACCTCGGATCCAAAAAGCCATCTTCCTCCTCCCCAAATAATTCATCCTCAACTCCGCCACCAAAATTATCCTGCATCACTTCCCCAGCCTCCTCCTCCACCACCACCAATTCACCTCCCTTCTCCTCCGCCGGAATTTCAAATCCACCACCATTCCGATTCCCAACCACTCCAACTCCGCCACCTCGACGCTTGTGATTCACAACATAAGGAGACGGCGACGAAGGCTCGGACGCCGTATCCGGAATCGGAGCCTGTTCCGGAGTTGCATACAACGCCGGAGATATGTAAATGTGTCTGGGAGCCGGCGGGGCCTTAGACACTGAAATTTCCCTCCCTTGAAGGGCGTAGCTTTCATCGCGTTTCGGTGGAGGTGGGGGAGCTGCAATCCGGTCGGATAACGGCGGCTTCGTGTAGGAATCTCGAACTCGCGGCTCCAGTAGGTTCTCAAGCTCTATAGTCGAAAACGTCGGCATAGTTTTAGGGAGAGAAAGTGGGGGAGATTCGTGCGCCTAGGGTTTGATCATTTGGGGTGAAGGAGAAAGCGGAGATCAGAAGACTGAAGAAGAGAGAGGGAATTGAGACAAAAAGGGAGGGTTTTTTGGGTTCTGAGCTACGGGCTGATGAAGCTTCCTAGGTTTTTGGAATTTTTTAAATGTGACTATTAGTAGCAAAAAGTTTGAATAGCTCAAATGTTGGCTGTAGCCGCACTTTTCAAGGTGGAGTGGTTTGAATGGGCAATGTTTGGCGTCTTGTTCGTCAAGAAAACAGTTGAATTATCTATACGTGTTGGATAATAATACATTTTATTTTTCCTGCTGAATATTTCCTTCTTTTTTTGTCTAGTTGAACCTTCTTCTTTTTCTAGAGTAAAATTTTGTTGGAAAAAAATTAATATAGCATTTTTTTAATATCATGTATGTGAGATAAAAAAAATAGTTAAAAAAATATGTTGATAATACAGATAAATAAATTTTGATAAATAATTTACTCTCAAAACAAAAAAAACATTTTAATTTTATCCATGCCTTGTAGGATATTGAAATTTAATAGTTGGATGATTTTGGATAAGAGTTTGGCTAAGATGGGTCTAGTTGATGACAGGGATTTTAGTATTAGTGATTTGAGAAATTATCTAAATACAAGGGTGCTAAAAAGGTAAGTGTATACGTAATTTTGGTTAGATAAGATGTACGGTGTCTCTTAACATGTATTCATTGGTATCTGTTAAAAGAATCTTTTTATGGAAAAAAATGTGGATTTTTTTTTACAACTCTTCCTTCCTAAACTATTTTTTCTATCCTAAACTTCTACATAAATTAGAACATCTTGTAACCTATAATTAAAATTAAAAAAATGCTTTTAGTTAGAAATTTTATTCTTATTCCATCCAATTAATAAATTGATAATTTGTTGGACTCATACAACATTAGTTTTTCATGTCTATATATTTATGAAATAACTTATATACAAACAAATTATATATACACACACGTTACATGTCCATATATATATATATAGTACATATATCCATGTCTTTGTATATAAACTTAAGGAATGTGACTAACTTTAAGGTAAACAGCTCTTCAATATGCAAAACATTATATTTATTAAATGTTTTTATATTTTTTAAATGCCAAAAAAATAGAGAAGAAGTTCAGTATAGAATATTTCTATTAATGAGCACACCAATCAATTTTTCTACAACTTTTCGACTAAATAAACACAAGAATTTATATTTTCTTGCATCATTTGCTTGTTACATTTATCGTTTGGATTGCAGTTTCTAAGAAAAAATTTTATGTTTTTCACAAACATATTTCTTAATCATCTTTTTGCCTCACATACATTAAATTACTACAGTGCATTTTTCCACAAAACTCCAAAGTATAGTAATCCAAATGGAGTGAATTCCTTTTTCTTTGCCTCACTTCACTTAATTTTTCCCCATTACACACTTCTCATATGACTTTCCATCAAATAAACAGACAAAGCCCAAATGAAGTTCACCGTACAGATGCTAATAGCAAAAATAATAATAATTAAAGAATCCGCCAAAGGTGAAATAATTACACATAAAAAGACCAACGTAGTTTGGATAAATATGGTAGACAAGATAATATCAAATTGTTGGAAAAATATGATAAACGATAAAAAAGTAGGTCCGATGTTAAATTTCTTTTTATCAAAAAGTGATACAATTCAAGTAGTACGTAATAATTTAACAAAATTAATAATTGATTACCTTATTTTTAGGGTACTCATCGTGTGCTGCTAAAATTAGGGTTGTTGGTGAGCCGAGCTACTCGCGAGTAGCTCGCGAGTAGCTCGGTCAACAACTCGACTCGAACTCGGGTTGACCGAGTTCGAGTCGAGTATCGAGTAACTCGACACCAAAGCGAGTCGAGTTTCGAGCCCTATTTTCCGAGCTCGTGGCTCGTCGAGTAGCTCGACGAGCCAGAGTTAATTAAATAAAATATTTTTAATTTAAATAATATATATTTATTATAATTATAAAATGACTATTATGGGTATAAATTATATGAAATTTACAATATTACCTTCTTTATAATAAAATTCTATAATGGCAAAAAAGTAATAACATAATTGTAAAAAACACTAAAAAGAAAAATGTCTAAAAATTCAATATTACCTTCTTTTCTTCCTTCTCTGTGCCGAGGGCCGATTGTGCGACTTACTTAGCAAAAAAATTCACTTTACCAATCTACACCCTCACTCCGTTCGTCGCCGACGCCGTTGCTCGCCGCATCTGTGAGACTCCATCGCCATCGCCATCGCCTTAACAAGTCCCAAGTCCCAAGTCCCAAATCGAAGCTGCTCTCTGCCTCTCCGGCCTCCGCCAGTCCGCCGCGCTGTACGTCTCCTGTCGGCTGTGTCCTGCCGTGCTGGTTCATCGCTGCCGAGTGTCGAAGACGAAGCACCAAGATCTCACTAGTTCATCGCTGGTTCATCACTGCTCATCTCTGGCTCACTTAGGTAAGTGCTCCTCTGTTTTTGGCTCTGTGTCTCTGGCATTAAAATGGGCCAAGATCGACTAGGAAACTTGGCCGTGGCTGCCATTTTAGATCAGTCTTGGCTGGCTTTCTGATGGCTGGCTTTCTGGATGCAGTCTTGCACATTTTAGGTGCTATGTGAGTCGAGTAAGCACTCAAATTCCCATTTGTGAAGAATCATCTGATTCAATGTTTTTTTCATTACGTTTTCCAGGTGCTAAGTGTGGCCCAGACAACTGATTATCTTTGAATTTGGTATATTCGTCTCCGGCACTTCAAACGCACTTGGAAACTAGAAGTTTATTATAGATCTAGCTTAGTATATCAAGTTAATTTAGTTAACAATTGTTGTAGTGGGTAGTGCCTTGAAAATCTTGTCCAAAATGACTCATCCTTAGTGGATCATAGACCACTCTTTATATCTTAGCTGCTACCTTTATTCAACAGATTTGTGGTGGATTCAGTAACATGCTCTAGGTCTCAAATCTTTGCTAGCAGTATATGAATTATGATTCAATGCATATGCATCACAGACACCTAAATCAGTTTTGTCCTATTGTTGATCACCTTCTGGGCATATGTAAATGGCATCTTGTTCTGATATTGTACTTTTGGGGAACGTCTCTGTAAAAGAGATAATTGTTCTCCCCTCTAGATTGTGCCTCATTGTTGAGCCTTACTTGGTAATTAACTGGATGTGAGTAGATTGACTAATTATGCAGTTGTACTGCATGATGGCTTGAAATAAGATGCTAGTCTCAAGCAAGTGCTTCTTATCCTGTAGCAGATTTATGTGAATCTCTGTCAATTTTTTTTTGAGGTTTTTAATAGATAATTTTGTGAAGGCTTATAGCAGTTACATGTCTCAAGCATCCTTAGTTCTCAGAGATCCATATTAAATGTTGTGAAACTCAGCTCTGCCATTCAATATTTGGTTGGTTGATATGTCAAGTCAGTAAAAAAAAAAACCTTCCAGATGATTAACTATATTCTTATATGAGCTAGTTTTGAGTGCAGTTACCTTACTTGTTTTGTTGGCGTGCTGATATTAACTTGCTGTACAGTTGAGAACTGAAATGGTCTTAGGATAATCAATCATCTTTTTTCTCCCTAACCAGGCACGCCATTTATGTAAATAATTTTGTAGACTTCAGATATGAGCAGTGTACACATTTTGAAATCTTGTTAAAAGGCAACTCCTCCGGAAATTGCAGGACTCCTGTACTTGGGAGATTGAAAGTCTTACTGTCCTTTTCTGAACCAGGAACATATTTTTCTGACATGTTCTTGTTTAAAGCAGCTTTCTTTAGTTAGTAATTAGTGATATTTGTGGGGAAAAGGAATTTCTGGATAGATCTTGGCATTGGTTTCTGAATTGAGCTTGTGGTAGTTGGGATATTGTGGCTGTTTGAGATAATTGTTTGTCTCTCAATTTGGTGGCTCAGCTCATGTTTTGCTGAGTTTTGAAATTTTGTGGGGAATTTTGGTTAGTTTGGGTACTTTTGCAGCACACTTAGGAACTATGATCCGAGGAATTAGAATCATCCATATTTTCTGCTCTTGTGGGCACCTACCGTTGGTGGGTAATTGCTGAATTTGAAAGTTTCATGTCAAGCAATCCAGCAAGTGGGAATTTCCCTTTTTTCTTCTCTATTCTTCTTTGTGGTGAATCTGATTTTTAGGGGTGTTAAAGATGCTAACTGTGGGAGGTAGAATGCGGATACTTTTAGTTGTATTTGTATTGATGAATCATGGATTTTATGCCTCATTTACTCCAGCTGATAGCTACTTGCTTGCCTTTGAATCTTCCCAAAACATCACCTTTGATCTGTTTTTTTCGTCAAATCGAGTCAAAAAGCTTGATAAGACTCGACTTGATAAGGCTCGATGAAAGATCGAGCCTTATCGAGTCGAGTCTCGAGCCTGAGGAAATTCTTCGAGTCGATCTTCGAGTATCGATTTTCTTGGCTCGATCGAGCTCGAGTCGAGCTCGAGCCTCTGTGTGTATGAGTCGAGTCGAGCTCGAGTATAGTGATACTCGAGCTCGACTCGGCTCGATTACATCCCTAGCTAAAATACTAAATAGAAAAAAAAAACCATCTTAGTTATATAAAGGACCTTCTAATTTAGGCCTTGTTTGACAAGCAAGTTTTTAGCCAAGTTTGTCTACTATAAATTTTTTAACAACTTTAATTACAATAAACTCAAAAAAAATTTCAAAATTTTTAAACTATACACTTTAAAATATTCAAAAATTTAAACATATTAAAAATTTTTTCTACAATTTTTACAGCAAGTTACAGTAAAATTTCAGACAAACATCCAAAAAAATTCACTTGCCAAACAGCGCCTTAGTTGTGCAAACTAGAAAAAGGAGACAGAGAAGACGTCATGGCCTAGGTAGCGGTGGACCTTAGACCAACGCTGTGGGAACCCAGAAATTTGGTTGCGGAATCTCAACTCCACAGTCCACACCAATTACGGGTGTTGGCGGGTGATTTGCAAGTCGCGGTTCAATTCTGATTTCTCAAATGCCGACCGAGTCAGGAGTCAACCAACCGAAGGTTCGAGTTTCCCCCCATTCTTGATTTGATTTAAAGGACATGCGTCAGCTAAACGGGGCCCATGTCTTTTCTTTTGCTCTTTCGCAGGTTCCCATTTTCTAATGGGGTCTGATGATGCCTTTCTTTGCTCAACAAAAGCGACCCACAAAACATAACAGTTACAGAATCTCAAAACATTGCTAATGTTACACATTTGTAGTACTATTACATTTCCGGTTACAACATGTGGATACCAAAGAAAAATTAAAGAGTTATATTGTTTTTAGTTTTTTGGAATTAGGGTTTAATAGAAAAAGTATATATCTCTCAATGCAGTACTGTAAGGTAGGAGGTCAAGGGTTCAGACCTTACCTCCCATCAATGTACCACAATATGTGATTTCTTCTAAATCTATACGTTGCGTGGTGCACTTATCTGAACCGATGGTAATTTAATCTCCGTCGGCTCTCTCGACTCAATTGGACTATCCCGCTTAGCGTAGGCTCGAGTAGGAATAGGTTAGACTAAATTAGATGCGCTGTTACGAAAAAAAATACAGCACCTTGCAATTATTGCTCCAATGATTGTGAGATTTACTTGATAAATTGGGACATGAGGCAAAAACATGTAAAGGGGGCTCCATAGGGGCTCGGGAAAATGAGGCCAGGGATTGGAATCGATTAAAAAACAACTCGTATCCTTCATGAATCATGATAGATTAGCAAAAAAAAAAAAAACATGTTTAAGTCATGAACAATAAATTTGACCGAGAAGATATCCACACCTCGATGAGGGGACCGTTTTGGAGATGCATAATTTGTCAATTTGCGAGAACGAATGAAGAAGAGTTGTGGAACTTTCCAAGGACATTTAAAGATGGAGTTATTCTTGCTGAATAAAGATTGGAGTTTAGAATTCTAAATAAGTCGAATTGAACTTTCAAACTGTTACACTCAAATTCAAATTTTTGTATTAGAGCTTTAATTTAAGTTTGAGTTTGATTCAAATTTACTATTTGAAAAGCTTGAGTTCAATTCGAGGGCTTGAAAATTTATTTTTTTTTAAATTTTAATATTAAATTATCATCGATACACTATTAGTATTTTGAATTATCCCATAGTAGAGAGGCCAAGCGCTATTCCCAAGAGAGAGGGAAAATTTTTAAAAAGAAACTCTCACCAGATTTCTCTCTCTCTCTTTTTTCATAACGATAACATTTTTATAAGTTAATCTATCCCAAAGATTTGACTAAATTAAAGGGGTAGTTTGACACGTCCTTTGGATTTTTTTCAATGCATGTAGGGTTCAAAGAGAGACTTATTAATCCCTCTTTAATGGTCACTGAGTCAAAGTTAAGTAATTTCCCATACAGATTTCTGGATGGGAAGTTTTTTTGAATGTCAAGCAAACGCTTATTCGGCTCTCATTTCCAATATCAAAATAAACTCTCACTTCTATTCACTTCCAATCCATCATTACCTCTGAACATTGAGAAAAAATCAATATCATAATCACTGAGGATCAAGCTATCAACAAATTAAAAAAATAAAAGGAAATATCATTTCTAATCAGAATATCAAAAGATATCTGGGATACAACATTCATCGATTTCGATTAAGAATTCTTATTAAGAATCCTTTTTTCTCATCTTCTCCATACCAGTCACTGCCCCACAATCTCTCTCCTCTTGCATCCAACTTTGCCCTTCTTCCCAAGCTACATATCTCTCTCTACGTGACTAATTTAATCTGTATAAACCATGTGTATGGAGAAGTGACTTTGGGCATATGTTTTTATGCTTCTAGACCAAATGCACTCTATAATCGCATGTTGTTTTTAGGTCGTTGCAATATAGTTCAACATGATAATTTTTACAAGTGATTGGTTGCCAACAAAATCATGTTCAAGAGTTTTTTTTTTTTTTAATATTATTTTAACCCTTTAAACATGAGCTATTTGCTCTAGCTCATTCGTGCTTAAATTAGAAACTAATCTCATTAATCCGATGCTATTATTTACAGAAGACAAGAAAAGAAAAATAAAATTTTTTTAAAAAAAGAAGAAAATTTTGTTATCTGTTCATTTATGAATGGGATAATTTCGAATAATTTCACTGAGCTCCTTTGAGTTTTGAAAAATTACACATAGCTCCCTTGTCATTTAAAATGACAATACAATTTAATTCAAAATACTGGGTGTCGTGTTGTATATTTTGAAATTACGGGGGACTTTTCTGTGTATTAGATTTACTACAAGGGGTTTTTTTTTTAATATTTTACCCTAATAATAACGAAGTAAATAGTTAGAAAAAAGAAATATATAAAATTTTTAGTTCAACATCAGTATCATTCTTAATTATAGTACCTGTGTAACTAGAACATACAAAGGTAAAGTACTGTAACTGCAAAGGATTTGGACAAGTATCCTACACGGGCAAAATATTTATCAATGGACAAAATAAGAGCAAGAAAGCTATAATATTTATTTATTCATAAGAAGAAGGGACCAAAAAAAAAAGAAAAAAAACCAAAAGACATTACTCTTTCCTAGTAATTACCCTATAGTAAGTCTTGATGCATGAGGTCTCACTTAAATTAGAATCTAATCTCATCAATCATGATGCTGTTATTTACAGAAGACAAGAAAAGAAAAACACAAAAAAAAAGAAGAAGAAGAAACTTTAGTTATCTGCTCATTCATGAATTGGATACACGATAGTACATACATCCTCCTCGAATGAAAAGATCATCATGAAAATGGTGTTTGAGATTCGTTGTGATGATTAAGCTCAATTACTGATGTTGCAATAGCATCATCAAGAGTTGGATGCTCAGAAGCATGAATGCTCTCCGTGGATTGGCTAGCCAACCTGTGACGTTCACCGGCGGCAGAACTAGGTGTCCTCCTTGCCCATTTCAAAATGAGCTCGCGCATGTATTCATCGAACATGGTTTGCTTAAACATGCTACCCATCTATAATAATAAATAAATAAAAATAAAAAGTTAGGAAAAAATATAAAATTTTTAGTTCGACATCAGATTCATTCCTAATTTATAGTACCTGTGTGACTAAAGCATATAAAGGTAAGGTACTGTAACTGCAAAGAACTTGGACAAGTATCCTGCATACATGAAATATTTGTCAATGGACAAAATAAGGGCAGGGAAGCTACAGTATTTATTTTTCTCATTTCCTAGTAATTACCCTATTGTGAGTCTTGGGATAATAAATCCCAATTCTTCCATAATGCATGATTTGAACCCGTAAGTGGTCTGGAGGGTGATGAAACGGGTTTGGGTCAGTACACTTGGAAGTTGTTCCACATGATCAAGAACAATGCATCAGCAAAAATTATCAACTCACTTACCCAAACCCAAAAAAGAAAAGCAATCTCGAATGAATTTTGAAACAATATGAAGTGAATCAAGTATAGGAAAAGATTTGGGCTATGAAACCAAAAAAGTTCATCAGAAGGCTTCACCGGTGCAGCATCAGCTTCTCCATTCCTTTGTTCTGCAACCCCCTTAGCTAATTCAGTAATTATGTGCTCTAATTCAGCACCCACAAGAAGTAATAGCTGCAATTTGAACCTCATGAAAACCTTAGTAGCTGCATGAACTGAGTAGGTAACAGCTATTTAAGTCGATTTACTCACTACTAAAGGCAAGAATGATAGCCAGAAGTACGAGTGCCACCCTGCAGCAATTGACCATGCACAGAAGGGCAGGATCAATATAAATCTTCCAAATGTGGTCATGACAAGAATGAAATACAGAAACCAAAGAAGAATTTGACATACCTGCCAAATCCATCAACAAAAAGACCATTACAAAGACCCACAAGTACCAGCTGTTGTTAAGGATCAGGCATCAACATAGTTGGAATGACTTTTCATTGTAGTCTAGAATATGAGAAGTTGAATGTGTACAGCTAGCCATACCTTATGCCAACTATTTTCTTGAAGTCATGTTCGAGGGTCCGCAACATATAACGGTGAAAATTGAATTCAGGCGCGGAGGGACAATGAGCCTGAAAGCAGGATAGGTAGACTACACGATCAAGAATGATAGAAGATTGTGTACACCACAAATTACATCTTTTAATTAGCTATGTTATATGATGGTTGTACCCGTATAAATCCTGCTCGCAAGACAGTGTAGTCTGACTTGGTCACTGAGCCATGAAACTGTCTGAAGAACGATGCCTGCAAAAGATTTGAACCAGCAAAAAAAATTTTGTATGAGATTAAAGATTGGAAGTTACGTAAAGGATAATATATAGTTCATTTCTACCAATTTAAATAATTAAATGCCCGTCTCAAATATGAAACTCATCTTTCTCTGAGTATTCCATATATATTAAGCAAGTTCAAGTTCATAGTATAGAATTTTGTTTTAGAATTAATCTTTGTTACACTGTCAGTATGTTAGATATATGTCACATTATCTGAATTTAAATTTAAAAATTAACATTTATATATACGATATGCATCTAAACCTACTTGTGTATATATTGTCACTGCATAAAAAATTTACCTTTTTTTTTTTCAAAAACAAAAGGTAAATTGTCCAATTTAGCTCCTCTATTGCCACGTATAGAATGATAAGAGCCAAGCCATCTCTTTGTCCATTACAAGAAGCAAAACATTTATACAGTATAAAGAAAAAGAAAAAAAAAAAAAGAAACTGGTACAAGAATCTTAATAGAGGGTAGAAACCCATGTTTAGTTTCCATAAACACAAAACCCTTAAATTCCTATCAAATCCACGAATACTTAAGGACCAATTTGATAATTATTTTCCATTCATCTGCCAATTTTTAGTGGAACGTGATAGGATCAAGAAAATCTGTAAGACACTTCATACAAAAACCAGAATTCTCCTAGGTTATTCAGGATTATTAAATGTTAAAATAAAAGAAGAGTAAATCTTATATACACTGATAGTGTATACACTATCATCGTCGGATTCATGACATATGTGTAAAATGGTATATTTTGCTAGTATATTTCATCTGGGATGGCCAAATTATAAGGGAGGCAAAATAATTAACCCCTAAGCTAACTACTACTTTTAGCAAATGATATTTATAAGCAAGTCTAAAAAAATTGTTAAAAATAAAAATAAAAGATATTTGTAAGCAAGTAAAATAGATCATATGACAATTGATACTAAAGTTAAATATTAATACCGATGCATCAAATTATTTTAGTAAAATTCATTAACGAAAAGGGTAAAGAAACTCACCATCCAACTCACAACAGTAAACTTTTCCCATTGTCTCCCTGCCCTCTCCTCGAATATTCGGTGGACAAAAATTTCATAAGCTGCAATAGAAAAGTACAACAAACCCCACAGAAAAATTTATTAGACTAACCAAACTAATTACTCGTTGGTAGAATATATAGTGTCTTCTTAAATAGTGAACTAATTTTTTTGCCAGCTCTGAAAACTAATGTGTCTAGCTAGAAAAATTACCTCTATCATGTGGTTTTTGCATCTCGCTTCTAATTGAATTCTCCCAGGGCTTCCACTGCTTTACCTGCGTTGAGATCAAGTTTATGAAATAAAAGATACTCAGGATATTAACCGAATGAATGGAAACAAACAAATTGAAATGATTGATAAATTTTTTTAATAAAAAAAAACTGCCGACATGATTCACTTTTTTTTTTGGGTTAAATCTATGGATTTTATAAATTTTGGCAAACAGACCTTTTGTTGGAATATACAACTTCTATTTAGATTTTTCAAGATTTTCTAGCACCAAGATAAAAATAAATTATTAGGAGTTGTCTACATTTTTAGTATTTGATTATTTCTAGTTTGTAAGAATTTGCAGAATTTTGTTTAAGAGATTTGTTAGTAGAAGATTGTGTTGAGTTGTTAACAAGCATTTTTCTGGTTAAGATTGGTTAGGAGATGTTTATGGTTGCTTTGTTGTTCTACCTCTATAAAAGGGGGAATTAATAAATAAAAAGTAAGTTCTTTTTTTGCAACATTGACTAAGACGTTGTTTCTCAATTTGTGCTATCAAAATCAACAAAGCAATATCAAGCCTGTGTCTTTTTTTGAGCATGAGTAAATCTGGTGAGGATCTTTTATTAGTTAAAAGCCAAAATGGCTAGAAAAGCTTTTGGGTCTACTGCTTCAACTTTTGGTGGTGAAACTTACAAAAATTTTGGGCAACAAATTTTGGATTTTTTTGATAGTCAATCTATGGATGTGATGGAGACAGGTTATGTTCCAGTACTATTTGAAAATCCAATAAATACACATATTAGACACACTACAGAATTGTAGTTATACAAATGTCCAAGGCCAACATTGGTGTAGCAATTTCGAATGCTGTTTTCACAAGAATAATGGCTAGCATTATTTATGATGTGATTGAGAATGAAATATTCTCAATTAAAATAAAAGGAAAAATTTTCACTTTGAATAGGACGAATTTTGACAATTCTATAGCGGAGCAGAGCATGATGAAATCAAGAATTTAGATGCTGAAAAAATTTTGAGAGGAGATCATTGATAAGTTAGAAGATTGTTAATAATGGCTTATTTTTTAGTTTATGCATTAAAAACCAACACCCTTCTACTAACTTAACAATTTTTTTTTTTTTTAAAATCGAGTGCACAGGGAACTAAGATTAGACACCATAAAATTCACTTTGCAACTTGTCTTCCGAACGAGGCAAGAAAAATTCCAGTGGGACTTTACTATGTTTCACATTATTGTATAACGAGCTTCAAATGCAGCACCTTTGCTCTTCCTAGAAGCACGATGGTGGCACAGAAGATCACATGAACCACAGCCAACACAAATATGAAAATGTGCAGCTGATGCAATGCTTCCAGTGACAACAGTGGGAGTTTTCCCTGTAAATGTAATCCAACATATAAACAAGAAAAGAAAGAAAAAACAATCGAAACCACAAACATACAAACTTGGAAATTATCTTTCTTTAAGTAGTACAACGGAACCCATGTATACATGAATTCTGTGCATTTAGACCAGAAGGTAAAAGTAAAGATTACTTTTTTTATTGAAACATGATGATACCTGACGTGCACAAGTTTCCAAGCTCACATCTTCTGCCAAAAGCCTCCTCCCATGTTTTACGACGTCAAGATGCTCAGAACCACCAGAGGAAGCCTCAGTTTTAAGCTTGCATGGGAGCATGATGTTTGCAGCATGAGGAGGAATGCATATACGGCTTATTGGACCTTGAAACACCGTCAAGAGTAAGGAAATAAACCCCAGAAGCATCAATTCTGCAACAAAGGAGAGGATAATAGCAAATGTTCCAATATTAATTTGTGAGTATCATAAGGCAAATTAGTGAATATTGTTGATCAGAAATTCTGGGATACTTAACATTCACAGACCTCCCTTGACCTCCTGTAAGGCCTCAAACAATGACTCTTGCTCCTTGTGCTTGAAAAACTGAATCCAAAACAACAGAAAATTAGATTTATGTACACTGAAAACAAGTTGGAGAAACAGATATTCTTTCACGCAATATTTTGATAGGAAGATTTTGGATACCTTTCCGAGTATACGAAGACCACGCTCAGCCCCGAAAGATATGAGAACAATAATAAAGCAGACGACGGTCACAACCCATGTTGGTGTGTACTCCAAAGACCGGGGCTCTCCGTTGGCCATGGACAGATCTTAATCGCGTATTTTTGCCGGTAAACTCGTAGCAATTAGTATTATCAGCTATTTATATACGCCATTGTATGAGATATTATATGACTGTGAGCAGGGTAAAATGAGGGGCAGAAGGCTAGAAGCTGATCATCCTGAGGTAAAGAATGTAAGATTGCCAAGCAACGAACAAAAACCTTTATACGCTTTCTAGTTTCTTACTAGGTGGGAAATAGGCAAATAGCAAGATGATGCTATGACTCAAAGTTACGGACGCATTGCACTGTTCTTGTTTGGATTGCCATTTTTAGAAGCTTCTGTAAAAAAAAAAAAAAAAATACTATAGTGATTTGATTTATGTGACGTAAAAAAAAAAGAGAAATGTGTTCATGAAATGTGTAATTTTTTTTTTTTTTTTTACAAAAAATCACGATCCAAAACCACTCATTATGATTAGTCAAGTCAACACAAGTTCTTGGTTACTTACTTGTGAGGTAAATTTATTTATTTTTAAAATTTTTGGTCTCTCTATTTTGAAACTTAACATCTGTGATGCTGGCACAAGACATTTCACAGTAGACAGAAGCCAGCCACCTTCGTTCTTCTTTACGATAACTAAATTCCCATTTTCCAACCTAAGAGGCTTGCCAGTACGAGCTTTAGTGCCAATCATCTGTCAGGAACACTAGGTAATGCGTCGTAGCTTTGGGGAATGCGGAGTCGTTTTGAAGGTAGCTCAGACTTCTGGCACATATGGTGTCGTTGCACTTAAGAAGTTAGTTGGGAATTCTATTGCAGTTTGTTATAGTTAGTTGCATGGTTAGTTGTCAGCTTCAGTCACGTTGCATGGAGGTGTAGGAAATTTCTATAAATAGCCAAGTATAGGAAAGGCTTGGCAGACAAGATTCATTACAGAAATATTCTCAATAAGATTTCCCTTACTTCCCTCATTTTCTCTCAATTCATGTTCCCCCCTTCCTATTTCCCTCTTATTATTTCTTCTTCTGAGAAATTATCAGGTTAAATCCTGACAAGTGGTAATCAGAGCCTTCAATTCTCGGTGCAACTTAACTGCAAATTCAAATGGCAGACGGTACCAGACTCAAGAATCTAGATGAACAGCTCCGAAAACTTGAGACTAGGGTTCAGATTCAAGTAGATTCCCTGCAAACGGAGTTACAGGACGCTCGAACGCACGTAGATACCAAAATGGACGAGCTCGACAAGAAAATTGACGCGTTAATGGCAGGAATGGAGACGAAGTTGACTTCATTTCTGCAAGCTCTCAACAGAGACAGAACAACAACAACTGGTGATTCGCCTCCCCCAGAGAAGACTCCTCTATTGACCAATCCACATGCCAGATGCAGAGAGTGGGGAGATCAGTCAGCAGCAGGCAAGGAGCGTAAGGTTACGATCCCAAGCTTACCTAAAGTAGAACTTCCTTTTTTTGAAGGGGACAGACCTCAGGAATGGATCAGAAAATGTGAGAAGTATTTTCTGGTTCATCAACTTCCTGAGGATCAGAAATTGGAAGTAGTGGAGATGTATTTGGTAGGGAAAGCCGAAATATGGTTCCAAGGAATTAAAAGGAGCAAGGGACGAACCTCTTGGGAAGGATTCTGTCAACTAGTCAACAGGAGATTTGGAGACAGAGAGAGGAGAGACGAAGTGGAGGAATTCAACAAGCTTCACCAACCACTAGTGTCAAGGACTACCAAGAGAAATTTGAGGAACTGAGTTCCTTGATGTTAATCAGAGATCCTCACCTATCTGAATCCTACTTTGTTTCTAGCTTCATCAGCGGTATTAATGAAGAGATCAAGCCTATGGTTAAAATGTTGAAACCTGCTACCTTACTTGAGGCCTTCGAGATTGCAGAATGGCAGGAACAGTTATTGGCATTCAATGGGAGGAATACCAGAAACTTTAGGATTTGGGAGCCTGGGGAAAGCTCCAAGTCCCTCAGTGCTACCGTTGTAACCAAACCAGGGGAAAAAATTTCAGAACAAATTGGCCAAAGGAAGTGGACTCCAGAGAGTACAAACCAGGAACATAGGAAGATCTCCCCTCAGGAGATCTTACGCAGGAAAAACAATCACCTGTGCTTCAAGTGTGGGGAAAGATTCAGCCCAGGTCACCAGTGCAAATACAGACACTTAAATTTCATTCTAGAAGAGGATGAGGAAACTGAATTTCTGGATGCCATTGGGGAGCAGGATGAGCAGACTGGCCATCCAGGGCAATCCGTGGATATATCTCTATATGCATTAACAGCCTCTATCAAGAGAAAAACCCTCAAATTGCAAGGGGCGTTGAAGGGACAAACGGTATCTATTCTGGTAGATACTGGTAGCACTAACAGTTTTCTGAATGCAGCTTTACTGGAGACCATGGAGCTAAGGACAGCTAGTATGACACCCTTAAAGGCAACCATTGCTGATGGAACCACTATTTCCAGTGAATTGTTCTATCCACATGTAACCTGGAGTATCCAGGGGTACAACTTTAATTTTCCTTTGATAGTCATGGGACTGGGAACGTGGGATCTCATACTTGGAGTGGATTGGATGGTGCAGTACAGCCCTATCACTTTTGATTTCCAACAGCTGTTGATCAAGCTATCAGAAGAAGGGGGCGAGATGGTATTGGAAGGGGTAGCTGAGCAACCTTCAATGAAGCTTATCAGAGGTAAAGCAGTAAGGAAATTCATGCAACAGAAGCACAGGACCAGGCCAACCGTCTGCTCTGTGTCTGAGGGAGGTAACTTGAATGGCGTAAGTCCACTTCCCAGTGAGATTTCTGAATTATTGCATGAGTTCTCAGATGTGTTTGCTGAGCCTACACAGTTACCACCAGAACGAGCACATGACCACACCATCCCACTGAAACCAGATGCCCAGCCTTTTAAACTCAGACCCTATAGGTACCCACATTCCCAGAAAACAGAGATCGAAAACCAAGTCTCAAACATGCTTCAAACTGGCATCATTAAGCCTAGTACCAGTCCATTCTCTTTCCCTGTCTTACTGGTCAAGAAGAAGGAAGGCACCTGGCGTTTCTGTGTAGACTATAGGTACCTAAATGACCTTACCATTAAAGACAGGTATCCCATTCCAAACATTGAGGAGCTCTTACATGAATTGTTTGGCTCCAAGTTTTTCAGCAAAATCGACCTCAGGTCAGGATATCACCAAATCAGAGTCAAAGCCTGTGATATTCATAAAACAGCTTTCCAAACACACCAAGGCCACTATGAATTCCTAGTGATGCCTTTTGGCCTGACTAATGCGCCTGCATCTTTCCAAGCTCTCATGAATGAAATTTTTCAGCCATATCTTAGAAAATTTATCCTTGTCTTCTTTGATGATATACTAGTCTATAGCCCGGATTTACAATCCCATGCTAACCATTTGAGAACTGTGTTAAGAATTTTGAAATCTCACCAGCTGTATGCCAAGATGTCTAACTGTATGTTTGCTCAGCTGAGAGTGGAATACTTGGGCCATGTCATATCCTACAATGGGGTTGAGATGGATGCTGCGAAGGTGGAGTGCATTAGAGCATGGCCAGTACCGGAAACTGTGAAAGCCTTGAGAGGTTTTTTAGGCTTTACAGGTTATTACAGGAGGTTTGTACAAGGCTATGGGCAAATCTGCAAGCCTTTGACTAAGTTGTTGAGGAAAGACTCTTTTTGTTGGACTGAATCAGCTGCTGAAGCTTTCCAGAACCTTAAGGATATCATGAGCACTACTCCTGTGCTCATGATGCCTGATTTTACTAAACCGTTCGTAGTAAAGACTGATGCCTGTAGTCGAGGCATTGGTGCCGTGTTAATGCAGGAGGGACAGCCTATAGCATATCTCAGTAAGGCTTTAAGTCCTAAGAATTTAGGACTGTCCATATACGAAAAGGAGCTGCTAGCAGTTGTGATGGCAGTGACGAAATGAAAACATTACTTGCTGGGGTACCACTTTGTTATTAAGACTGACCATCAGAGTCTGAGGTTTCTGCTAGAGCAAAGGCTGAACACTCCATTACAGCACAAGTGTTTGACAAAGCTCCTAGGCTTGGATTACGAAATTCAGTACAAAAAGGAGGCTGAAAACAAAGCTGCTGATGCATTGTCTAGGAAGGGGTTTCCAGAGGAAGACTCTTCAGGTGAAATTTGCGCCATCACTTGTGTCAAACCCCAATGGCTGACAGATGTATCTGAAAGTTATGAAGGTGACTCAGCATGTCAGGACAGAATTGCCCAATTACTGGTCGACCCCACTTCGGTTACTGATTATGAGTACGCAGATGGAGTTCTAAGGTTCAGGAAAAAGATTTATGTGGGGAGTCATGGTGATCTGAGGCATCAAGTCATTCAACAGCTACACTGTTCTGCAGTAGGGGGTCATTCTGGACAGTTGGGATGTTTTAAGAGGCTAGGTGCAGTTTTCTATTGGCCTCGGATGCGGAAGGATGTAGCTGACTTTGTCAAACAGTGCGATGTTTGCCAAAGGAACAAACATGAGAATGTTCCCTATCCTGGGTTGTTGCAGCCCCTACTAGTGCCTAACCAAGCGTGGTCTCAGATTAGTATGGATTTCATAGAGAGTTTACCTCTCTCTGAAGGTGCCGACACTATACTGGTGGTGGTAGACAGGTTGACAAAATTGTCCCATTTCATTCCTCTTAAACACCATTTCTCAGCAGTGGAGGTTGCCAAACTGTTCCTCACACACGTCTTCAGATTGCATGGACTACCAGAGGTTATAGTTTCAGACCGAGACAAGCTTTTTACCAGCCTTTTCTGGCAGGAATTATTTCGACTAGTTGGTACTCGATTGAACTTCAGCTCAGCTTACCATCCACAAACAGATGGTCAGAGTGAGCGTGTCAACCAGTGTTTGGAAACATACCTGAGATGTATGACTGGTGACAGGCCTCAGAAGTGGAAATCTTGGCTACCCTTGGCTGAGTGGTGGTACAACACAAATTACCACACTAGCCTTCAAACGACCCCCTTTGAGGCCCTTTATGGTTATAAGCCTAATCATCTACCCTTAGGCTTCATTTCTGATACCATTGTCCCTGCAGCTAGTGACCTTGTCAGGGATAAGCAGGCTGTCTTACAGATTCTTCGCCAGAATT